CAGACAACAACTCAAAATCGTCTCCGTCCTTTAACTGTCAACGAGTTAGAACGAGCCCAGATGATCATCATTCGAGACATCCAAACTCATAGCTTCTCACAAGAAATAGCCGATTTGAAAAACAGACAATGCGTCAAGCATAATAGTGCATTGCTCACTTTACATCCTTTTCTCGATCAGGACGGGATCATCAGAGTAGGAGGACGGCTAGCTAATGCGCAGTTAGAGTATGAACAACGACATCCGATTGTGTTGCCAGCACATAACCATGTCACTCGAATAATCATTCGTGACGAACATCTCAGGAATTTGCATCTAGGACCACAGGCGTTGCTCGCCACCTTACAAGAGTCTTTCTGGATAATATCCGCAAAATCCGCGATTAGACAAGTATTGCATAAGTGTACTGTTTGTTTCCGCGCGCGACCGCGTCACGTGCGTCAGATTATGGGCGATTTGCCGGTGTCCCGTGTCATGGGCACCCGTGCGTTCGTCAATGTGGGCATAGACTACGGCGGTCCATTTAACATAAAACTTAGTCGAAACAAAACTGGCAAGGCTTATATATGTGTATTCGTTTGTATGGCCACCAAGGCTATCCACATAGAGTTGGTCTCTGACCTGAGTACAGCAGCTTTCTTGAATGCACTAAAACGTTTTATAGCCCGTCGCGGTTTATGCACTCACATACATTCAGACAATGGTAGTAATTTTAAGGGAGCAAGTAGAGAGTTACAAGAATTTTTCAAATTAATAAGAACGGCCTCCCATCAAGAGACAATCCATAATTATTGCATGAAACAAGCCATTCAATGGCATTTTATACCTCCATATTCTCCCCATATGGGTGGCATTTGGGAGGCAGGTATCAAATCCGTAAAGACGCATCTAAGAAAAATACTTGGTGAAGCACTCCTTTCGTTCGAGGAAATGTACACAATATTGACTCAAATTGAAGCCGTGCTTAATTCACGACCATTGACGCCATTATCGACAGATCCAACAGATCTGCAAGCGCTAACTCCTGGACATTTTTTAATTGGAGCCCCTCTCAATGCCATTCCACAATGTTCTCTAACGGAAATGCCCAATAACAGACTTAATCGTTTTCAGTATCTTACAAAACTCGTACAATCCTTTTGGTCACGGTGGTCCAGAGAGTACCTGTCAACCCTTCAAAAAAGAATCAAGTGGAATCGTGAAGATCAAGTGTCTACTATTAAAAATGGCATGATGGTAATCTTGCAAGAAGATAATCTTCCATCTATGCAGTGGCCGTTAGGGAGAATTGTGGAATGCCATCCAGGTCACGATAAGCATATCCGAATCGTTAATGTCAAGACTGCAAAGGGAGTGTTATCACGTCCGGTCACGCGATTATGTATCTTACCGATAGAATAGAGTAAGCAATCCACACTGTTTTTTCGTTTCTTTTATTTTGGTTTTTGTTTTTGAAAGTCTAGCCTTTCAAGGCGGGCGACATGTTAATGCGAGTAGTAGGTAACTGCGCGTTACTTATCGACGGAAAATTGCGTCCGATCGGTA